ATGTGACAACAGGGTGGATGACATGTCGCGATGTATCATGACTTTTTTTTTCCATTACCAGCAATGGGGTAGGCGCGGTTTCGCTATGTTGCATCCGGCCCACAGGCCGGCAGTTTGACACTCCTGTTTTAGACTTAGCACTATGTGTTGGTCCAATTAATGGTGGCTTATTCAACAATCTTGATTAATCAATCTGGGTTTATTTGTCGACTAAATAGCTACACCTAGAAATAGGTGCACACTGGGAGTTTATTCGCTTCCTGGTGGCTCCAAAAATGACTGAGGCGCCTCTGTCATTTTTCCCCAACTTACAATGATATCTGAACCAGGCAGCCCAGAGGTTTTGTTTTGTTTTGTTTTGTTTCATTATTGCTGAAAGTCCAAGAAGAAACAGCAATTCAGCTGCTTCTTCTGTTATGCATTTTTCACTGGGAACATGGGAAAAACTTGCCTCTCCTTACACACACACATACACACACACACACACACACACACAAACACACAACTGGGTAAATGTCATAGCCTTAAACAGTACTATCGTCATCACTACAACATCCATTAGCACACATGGACCGTGCTTCTATCTTCCCTTTTGGGTGCATATTTGTGTCTTTTGCTCCTTTTTAATCAGCTCTTTTTCATATTCTAGTTAACTGGCAAGCTATTCTACAGGGTTTGTCCCTATCTCTCCCTGCCCTCCCCAAATGCCTTCTGCTTCATTACTCATCCTCTAAACTAGTTTCCAGTAGCATGTGCTCAGCAGGCTTTCTGACTAATGAACAAAATGTGCAGCTTGTGGTGATTTTTTTCCCCATTTTTTTTTTTATCCCTCTAGCATCTTCTGTCCATCCAATTAATAGACCCATAGTGATTGCAACTGAGATAAGAAGCAAGTGGTCTCTTGTTTCTAGCAGCTTCTCTCAGTCGCTTGCTCTTAATTTTTGTTTATTTTATTTTTTTATCAGTGCAACTAAACAGAAATTGCAGCAGCACAGATGCACCTCTAGACTTTTGGAGAATAAATATATCACAGCACAGATGGAGCTGCTGGCCTGGAACTTTCACTCTGAGCATCCACCTAAAACTTGCCATTAAAGCAAGCAATGCTGCTTCTCCAGCTGTGCTCTTATATGGAGAAAGAAAGCTGGGCTACCACAATGGAGGAGGCAACAATAATTCCTGGCTTGAACAGATTCCCCCCCACCTCCCAGCCTCATTTAGACCCTTGTAACAAGCAGCACCCTGATGTCAATCTCTCTTTAGAGAGAGGGAAAAGGATAGCTCCATGGTATTATCTCTGTTTCATACACAAAAGAGCTTCACATCCCCTGCTGAAAAAGAACATGTCAGAGAACATAACATGGCTCATTTGGGTTGTGCCTAGCCTAGCTGTTAGTGGTTAAACAATAAATTGTGGCTTAGCATCATAGCAGCAGCAATCACACTTAAATGTATATACCTAGTGGTGGGATTCAGCCGGTTTGCACCACTTCGGCAGAACTGGTAGCTAATTTTTTGTTGCCCAGGCCCAGAATGGACTTCCGGAAGTGGCATCCACAAAGAGAACTGGTTGTTCACATATTTGAATCCCACCACTGTATATAGCAGGAGTGGTCCCAACCTGTGGGCTGCAGCTCATTACTGGATTGTGGCCTATTCGCAATCAGGCACAGGAGCTAGCAGTCTCACTTGTGACAGTGGCAGAGCTGGTGCTCACAGCCCCACTTGCGTGAGCAGCAGGCATGAGCACTTGCAGTAAACTTGTGTGAGCAGCAGATGCACACACATGTCGCTCATACAAATGAAGCTGTGCATCATGTGTACACCCCCGCCACTCACACAAAACCATCCCCTTCCGCCCACACACACCAGGCTGCTAACCTGGAAAGGTTGGGGAACATTGCTTTACAGCATTCTCTAGGTCACAGGTCTTCAAACCTGGCCCTTTTATGACTTGTGGACTTCAACTCCCAGAATTCCTCAGTCAGGGCCCCGAACAATCTAGGTCCTCTTTTTACCAACTTTGAAAGGATGGAAGACTGAGTCAAATCTGAGCCCTGTCACGATTGAACTCCACACTGTGGGCAGATTTTGCCTGCAATACTGCATTCTAACCGCTGCATCACCATCTTCTTCTCATGTAGGAAGTCAACCTTTCAGCAATCCAAGCTTGTGAAAACCATGGATTAGCATCACTTAGGAACAAGACCATTGGTAATCAGGAGAGATCAAAGAGGGACAAACAGTAAATGGGATGATGCTGTGTTATTTGCAACACCTTTTAATGGAGCTGTAGCAGCATTGTAACAACTGCTAATGTCATAGCCCCTTCAGAGTTAGGAGTCTGAAACAAGGAAGCAAGGATAAGATTTTCTCCTCAGCCAGAAATTGGTTTTGTCCATAATTCTTGGTATATACTTAACCTTTCTGATACATTTTCATTACCGGGCTGCATTACTAATAGTCTAATATGCATGAGCACCAATGGATAATTGCATTCTGGTTTTTCCTATTGATTCAGGCTCTTATCAAAATGCAAACCATGTTCCTGGTAAATTATGTTCAAAATGCAAACCAAACAAAATTATCTTCCAGTCCCTACAGTCACATTCAGAAATGTGAGTAATGTATAAAGTGGCAGTTTTCCTGCCCACCTCTGGACATCCAACTAAGACAATTTTTCTAAAAGGATATAATGTAATCAAAGGCCATTTGAAAGGTCCCCAAACCAGCCAACTGAAATGGAGCTGAAATAACACATAGACCTGATGAGTTGCAACATGTTCCAGCACATTCTAGCCATCTACCTTCAAATCAGTTATTTAAAGTGTGAATTGAATAGAGTACAAGAAACGTCATCAAAGAATCAGAGGAACCATGTGGTTCAGTGTTCCTAGTTTCTTTATGAATTATATGGATATCTTGCTTTCTCGGAATATATGCTATTATCACTGATTGTACAGTTATCAATATATCTTCAGTGACAAAACCACAGCCCCTTTCCAGTGCTTTCTGGCAAATTAATGCCAGAAATAAGAATAGAATAAAGCTGGAAGGGACCTTGGAGGTCTTCTAGTCCAGCCCTCCATTTAAGTAGGAGAACCTATACCATATCAGACAGGTGATTGTCTAGCCTTTTCTTAAAGATCTCCAGTGATGGGGCGCCCATGATTTCTGGGGGTAGGCTGTTCTACTGGTTGATTGTCCTCACTGTCAGGAAGTTTCTCCTTAAATCCAGGTTGCTTCTCTCCTTGATCAGCTTCCAATCATTGTTTCTTGTTCTTCCCTCTGGTGCCTTGGTGAACAACCTGACTTGTGGCAGCCCCTCAGATACTGGAACACTGTTATCATGTCTCCCCTATTTCTTCTTTTCTTTAGACTAGCCAAACTCAAGTCCCGCAGCCATTCTTCATATGTTTTAGCCTCTAGGCCTTTGATCATCTTAGTTGTTCTTCTCTGAATTTTTTCTAAACGCTCAACATCTTTTTTGTGATATGGTGACCAAAATTGGTTGCAGTATTCCAGGTGTGGTCTTACTGGGGCTTTGTAAAGCGATACTAGTACTTCGCGTAATCTTCAGTTATAGAAAAATATTTGGTTATGTTGATTATGTCAAACTGTAGAATGTGCTTAGAAAAACGGGAATTCTAGAGTATCTCATTGTCTTAGGAGAAACCTATATACCGGTCAGGAAGCCACTGTCCAGACAGAAAATGGTGAAATATGCTGGTTCCAGATTGGCAAAGAAGTATGAAAAGGCTGCATACTCTCCCCTTATTTATTCAGACTATTCAGAGAATATATATTAAGGGAAGCTGGACCGAAAGAAGATGAGCATGGTTTTAAAAGTAGAGGAAGAAATACCAACAACCTGTGTTATCTTGATGACACTAACCCAATAGCTGAAAACACAAAAGATTTTGAAGCCCTAGTACTAAAAGTCAAAGAGAACAGAAAAAAAAATCAGACTAAAATAAAATAGGGAGAAGATCAAATTAATCACAACCGATAGAACAACCAGCCTTAGAATGGGCAATGAGGGAACTGAACGGTGGATAGCTTCTGCCTTTTAGAATCAGCCACCAACAGCAATAGTCAGGAAGTCAGGAAATATGCCAGTAGCACTTGATAGAGTAGCCAAGATGACCTTGCAAAAGATCATCAATCAATCAAAATATATCTTCTGTGACAAACCAACAGCACTTTTCAAGTGCTTTTGCAGGAGAAGAGCAGGCTGAGCTGGAAGGCAGAGTTAAATGTGCTATCAGTAGGGAGTCCTTGCATTGCCACAAGAGACCCAGCCCTTCCATGAATTCTGTAGACCCTTATATAGCGCCAATTTAGCTCTGACCATTTGTTGACCAGATTCTTGTGTATAGGTAGCAATAATAAGCCCTTCTGTATTTAGAACTCAACAAATGCTCCTGGTTATTTGCACCTGACAGCTTTCTAGTAAAGGAAACCAAATCCAAGGTGTATAGCTCAAGGTGTATCTTACCAGTAGAAAAAATGGTGACCTTACAAAAACAGGACATGGGCGTGTTCCAGCTCCTGGAAATTGACCAAGTACTGACAGTGAAACCTTTATACATCACTTATTTATATCATGCTCCTGTAAGCAATGTATTGTTCTTTGGGGTAGTGAACACAGATTGCTCTCTTTCACAATTAGATAGATCTTGGGTTTAGTTGTAATGTCGACCATAAAATCCAAGACATATTTCAAAGCATTTTGAAAACATTTAGTCAGGACTGAAAAAAAAAAATTCATGTACAATCTTTCAAGCAAATGATTGTGGAGGGTTGTCTGTCTGGTGGTGCTTTGGTTTTAAATTGTTGTAAACTATTATGGGAAACACAAACCACAGAATATTTGGAAGGCAAACCAGTATTCTGTCCTATCTTAATTCTGTACTGTCACTGAGCCTCATGAATCAAAAGTGTGTAAAAGGATGGTGCCAACAGACTTTGTGTGAAGTGCCAGGAGACTCAATTCTCACCTCTGCTGCCGGAACTCCCTCTGGTGGCCGACAATGAAGCACAATCATTCCTTCTATTGGGACTTCCTTGCCCTGGGGGTCTTGTTCAAAGTTTTTGCGTAAATCTGTAAAGAAGAATGTGCAAGGGTTAATCACTCCAAACAAGGTGAAACATCCCTTGCAGGAAGTGCAAATGTTGGATTTAGGCACTAAAGCCACCCCATTCTCCAAAGCACCTGAAGGCAGGACAAGAAGCCATGGATGAAAACTAATCAAGGAGAGAAGCAACCTAGAACTAGGGGGGAATGTCCTGCAGTGAGAGCAATTAATCAGTGGAACAACCTGCCTCCAGAAGCTGTGAATGCTCCAGCACTGGAAGGTTTTTAAGAAGAGACTGGACCTCCATTTGTCTTAAATGATATAGGGTTTTCTGCCTGAGCAGGGGGTTGGACTAGATGACCTCCAAGATCCCTTCCAACTTTATTATTCGGTATATAGGTTTGTTTAGTTTTGGCTTGGCATAGTGTGTTCATTGCTAGTAATTAAGCTTAGTAAGACACAGTTTACAGCTTAGAGTGTTGCTTTTTAACCCAGTAAGTTGTCATTGAGTCAACAAGTGATATTATATTGTAAGCTGAGCAGAGAAATGTGTGCGAGATGGGTGGCTATATGAGTTGATTAAATAAATAAATATTGAATAGATATACAAACCATGGTTCAGCGTATGTCAGCCCTTCCAGGTAAACCAGACAGGACACACAACCTAATGAGCTAATTCTACTTTACTCTAGCAGAGGTTCTCAACCTTGGCAACTTTAAGACTTGTGGACTTCAACTCCCAGAATTCCTCAGCCAGCAAAGCCTTTGGTTAAGGTAGAACCTCTACATCTTAACCCAAAATATATTGGTGAAATAGCAAGCTGGGAGATAGGGAACCAGCTTGGACAGAATGTTGCCTCAAGGATTATACTATAATGAAAAGGTTAAATGATTCAAAACTAATAGGAATCTGACTCAAATAAGACATTGATTGAAGGCTTTGAATGTCAAAATTGATCAATAAGCATAGATCTGCTACTTGACATAGAAGGAAGCTCCATTATGGTCAATGGGGTTGAGTATTTATTTACCGCTAAGCATATAACAAAAAGTTCAACAACTAAGAAGTTAGTCCTAATGGACTGAAGGAAAGCTAATGAGGAATAATCAGATTTAGGATTGGGCTGCATATCTTTCAAGTCTGCAAACTGATTTAAGTCCTTCTCCCTCTGCAGAAAGGCTGAAGCTGTCAGAAAATATTTCCCTGTTGCATTTGGATGCTTTTCAAAGAGCTGCTACTTTCTTTATCCTCCCACTCACTCACATCTGCTTGCCTTACACACTCCCTGGGTTTTTTTTTTTTTTCCTTTTTCTTTAAATGAAAAGCCGAGCTGTGTTTGACAGATAATTTTTGAGCAAAAATTAATCACATTTTCTTTTTCAATTACAGGAGCATCCAATAAATAAATAATAAAATATGCGCATTGGCAGTACACACATCACAATTGCCTCTCTACCCTGATTTCTTCCAGATGTTTTGAGACTACGGATCCCCAAATTCCCAGACAGCAAATAAGAATGAGCCATGCACTTTTCTTGCTGCATTTGGAAAAAGAAAAGAGATCTGCCTACCAAAGAAGGATGAAAACTGAGGACGTTAAAAAAAAAAAAGTCATCTGCAGAAACGTTTAATTAGAACAGGAAGTTAGTACAAGGCATAATGGTGACCAGAATCATTTTACTGAGGCCTTCAACAATGAATCATACTGAGCAAACAACTTGTAATAATAATAATAATAAAATTGGAAGGGAGCCTGGAGGTCATCTAGTCCAACCTCCTGCTACGATTTCAGACAAATGGCGGTCCGGTCTCTTCTTAAAAACTTCCAGTGTTGGAGCGTTCACAGCTTCTGGAGGCAAGTCGTTCCACCGATTAATTGTTCTCACTGTCAGGAAATTTCTCCTTAGTTCTAGGTTGCTTCTCTCTTTGGTTAGTTTCCATCCCTTGCTTCTTGTCCTGCCTTCAGGCATTTTGGAGAGTAGCTTGACTCCCTCTTCCTTGTCTCAAACCCTGAGATATTGGACCTCTGCTATCATGTCACCCCCTCATCCTTCTCTTCATTAAACTAGACATACCCAATTCCAGCAATCGTTCTTTATATGTTTTAGCCTCAGTCCCCTAATCATCTTTGTTGCTCTTCTCTGTACTCTTTCTAGAGTCTCAACATCTTTTTTACATTGTGGTGACCAAAACTGGATGCAGTAATCCAAGTCTGGCCTTACCAAGGCATTGTAAAGTGGTATTAACACTTCACTAATGGACACCTACTCACAACACTGAGAAGATCTTCACAAGCAACCAGCTTTCATTTGCAAGTGTCATTTTTGTCCAGTGCTAAATCTTTTTGGATTGACTAAAGGGCTTCCTATGTGGACAAAAGATCAAGATCTAATGAATGTTGTAAAGCAGGGGTCCCCAACCCCTGGTGGGTGGACCGGTATCGGGCCATGGCATGCCAGCAACCGGTCTGCATGAACAAGAAAAGCCCACCCGCAAGATGCAAGCAACACACAAAACCACGCACCCTCCTGTCTGCAGAAAAACATCTCTCCATGGAACCGGTCCCTGGTACCCAAAAGGTTGGGGACCTCTATTATAAAGGACTCAACAAGGAGTATAAATGATGCCAAGCATATAAGATCAAAGAAGAGTCTAGAAAAGGGATATAACAGTATACTCCAAAATTGGTAGTATAAAAATTAGACAAATTATAGATTTAACATCAAGAATCCAGCTCAGAGTCATCTGTTGTTCTCACACAGACCTTTGACCCCTGAAGAGGACCCTATTTCACAGGTGGGATTTTAGGGTTAAATAGCTGCTTAGTCTAATACTAACACTTTTCTAGAACTAAAATTGACGTTGGCTCAGATAGAATCATCACGGAAAGATTGGCTAATCTCATGGAGTTATCTAGCATGCATGGTAACTGAGTTCATGCATTTCCTGAAGCCAGAATGTGGTATGTTTGGCCCAGAGTGATATTCAAATTTAGCTATTGTGATTTGCAAGTACAAACCAAGCCATTGTTTTTTTAGCATAGATCAGTGATGGCGAACCTTTTAGAGACCAAGTGCCCAAACTGCAACCCAAAACCCATTTATGCATTGTTGGGTGCTGGGTGGGAGTGGCCCATTGGCTGGGCGTGGCCCATTGGCTGGGCGTGGCTGTGGTAGTAATGGCAGACTGGGTGGGACTAAAAAATTCAATCAATCAATTCCAACTTTGCAAGATCTTTTTTTTCCCGCTAGAAGTTGAAATCGACTGATTGAACCCCCCCCCTTTTTTTTTTTTTGCATACGGTGGTGGAGGCCTAAAGTGAAAAGGTTTTATAAAACCCAGCTGAAGGCCTAGGACTGGGGTGATGGCGCATGTGCCCACAGAGAAGGCTCTGCGCGCCACCTCTGGCACACGTGCCATAGGTTCGCCACCATTGGCATAGGTGGATAAACAGATAAATGGATTTGCCTGCATGAATAGAAAAGACAGTATAACCTTGAAGCAAGCTTGAGAATATAAAAAGAATGGCTATTTCATTAACAATGGAAATACCTTGAATTATTTCTTCTGTTATTCTACAAAACCCAACTAAGTACTCCTTAACAGTCTATTAGTATTGTTGCTATTAAAATAATAACATTTACTGCAGCATAAACTTTGTTAGGCAAAAGGACAGGAAGCTATTAAAGTAGCAAATGTCACACCAAAATAGCTTCACTGTATAAGACAGCTTAATCGATCCACCTGCTTCAATAAATTTCTTGCTCTCTTCATGTTTCCATGTTCGGCAAGAAAATTCATAGTCCAGAAAAAAAAGTCAATAAAAATTCAATTCTAAAATAATATGCATTTGCAGCCTTGCAAAACTGAGGAATTATCATCTCCGTCAATGTAGTGGCAGTTAATGCAATGAAATGAAAATAATTTACGCATGCCAAACAAATCAGCCAATGAAAAATCGCAGCCATTAATAAAAATCACACAAGTCAGTGTCCCATCATATCAGTTTAGCCAAGTGCTCAATTTATGATGGTGCTATCAATTGGGCTTCCTTAAAAAAAAACAATAACCTCAGAAATACACAAACTGAAAGGGAATATGTGAAAGGCAGCCTATTAAAAATTAAGCACATCCTGATCTTTTATGTACAATATATTCCATGAACATATACAGAATATCTTTTCTGCCTAAAATTGTTGTTGCAGAACAAACGCCAGTATTCTCCAGAATCTTATTTTTGTTTTGTTTTTGTTTTTTAAAAAGGCAGTAGCTGCAATTTTAGGGGCCTTACTAAAATGGATTGCAGAAATCTAAATGACCACTAAGTGGCAGCAAAGAGGCAGAAAAAAAATCCAACTCTGTGCTACCATCTTTGGTCCAGATTTGGTAATCCTAATTTCAGTAATTTAAGAGGGAGCAATCAAATGGATAGAATGATTGAGTGGCATGGAGTGAAGTGGAGTGAATTGGAGAGGCTGTCTTAACTTTTCATATGTTATAGGGTTTGCTGAAACATTTTTGGGCTAAAGTCATAAATTTGTCTGATTCTGGCTTTGAGTAATGAGTGAACCATGATACTGCATTTTGAAAACAAGGGTTATGGCGTACTATCATATTCAACATCCTATGATCAAAGCTAGTGATATGTGAACTCCATCGTTTAATAAATGCAGTTCAGTTTATTTATTTTGGTCTTTGACCTGCCTAAAATGCAAATTGAACAATAATAAAACAATCACAGAATTCATTCTGTACATACAGTGTTAGTGTCAATAAAATAAACTATATTTACCTTAAAGTATCTAGGAGATTATAATCTATAAACTGGAAACTACAAGTGAACAAATCTATGGATCGAACATCTATGCACTACTATGACATACAGTAAAATAGCAATAATTCTAGAATCTATACAACCAATAAATTTATGAACCCTAAAATTATGAAGCAGTATAAAATGTATTTAATTAATGTAAATTAAAATAACCTAAACCTAACTGTAATCCTAACTCTACAATAATATCCAATCTGGTTAAACAAATAACTATACCACATTATAACTACATTGAAAAGTTTACATCAATAGATTAGGTGCTAACTTCAAAATATACATATAGAGAATATATATCCCAATTCGTTCTTATAGGATATCCATGTCAAGCATATTTTATACATTTATTCACAAAATTTGGCTACCTTATAAGTAATGGCATTGTTCACAAATAATAAATGGGTGTAGAAGTGGTTTATATAGCCTTATGATTAAAGGGCGAATGAATATCCTGAAATGTCTGCAATAGCCTGAATTATTGCTAATGGAGCAATAATAAAGCATGATGGAGGAGGAGGAGGAGGAGGAGGAGGAGGAGGAGGAGGAGGAGGAGGAGGAGGACATAGGTTGAGGACCCCTGCTTTAAGATATAAGATAAAAAGGTAGATTTTCCTCTATCTACTTTGGAAACGTTTTAACTCTGGTAATAGACACAGAAGGTCAACTGAGGTGGATAGAATCATGCATGCATGGAGAAAACAAACAGGAAGTTTTTTTCTCCCCCTCTCAAAACAACAGGTCATCGTTTGAATCTGACAGAAAAAAAGTTTCAGGAAAGATAAAAGCCTTCATCACGCAACAAATCTTTGGAATCCATTAAACAAGACAAAGTCATTTCTGCTGTCTTGGATAAGTTTCAAAGAGGTTAGATTGGGGTGGGCTCTGGTTCGTGGGCACCTGGTTGACCACTGTGAGAAACCAAATGCTATAGATAGATGTTGGCTTGGTCCATCAAGAACTTAGTTTTGCCTGAAAATGCTCTAAAAAGTGCAACCCCAGTATATCCACTATGGATATGCTCTTCTAACTGAAGAACTGAGTTAGAACTAAAGAAGCATCTTGGATGAGAAATGAAACATCTTCAAAGGGGAAAAAAAAAACCAAGAAAGTCCTGTTGCCTTATGAAAAAAATAGATAAATAAATCACCTTTGGGACTCGTATGAAATCCAACACACCCCAGTGGTTCACCATTACGATGCAAACTTTAGTAGAAATCTAACTACTCATCTACATAGGGACACAGACGCACACTCTTTCGACACACAGAAGTGCTACACGTGTATACTCATTCACATTGAGCTGCTATGAGCTGCATAGATTAAGAATGACGCCCATCCATTTCTGGAGAGCAAAAACCACTTACAGGCAATGCGGACTGAAGCCTTCCGGCTTTTGGAAGTTCCCAGGAGACTCCAGGCTACACACTGGCACCAGTAGTCTTCTGGTCCATGAAAATCCTCTACTTGCTGTCTGGTCACATTGATGTATGCTTCCCGAATCATCAAGCCTGAATGCAAAAGATAGAGGAAAAAAATTAGCTGATATGAAATATCTTATTCAGACATAATGCTAAGGTTAGCCAAACCTTTCCTTTTTAATTAAACAATTCCATTTTTAATCAAGGCAAAGCTTTAATGACTTTGACAATACTATAAGGCTCTTAATTAAATCCTCACTGCCAAGTAGGTCAGGAAGCATGAGCTGAAAGCATGCGCCTGCCCAAAAAAAAAAAAAAAAGGGCTTGAAAAACCATGTAGTATCTGCCTTTAAAATCTCTTGCTGGCATTCCCATTCTTCAAAAATGCTGCTTTGTTCAGCTTAAAAAAAAAAAAAAAAGACTCCAAAACATCATACAATACCTAGCCATCTAATGAAATGCAACTGTAACTCAAAGCATATTTCTTCACTAATATCATCCGGATTTGCTTCTAGATGAATGAGAATCATAAAAGTTGGGCTGATTTCAGATTATATGGTTCAGACAGAGCAGAATAACAAGAACTGATTGAGCTGAGTATAATTAAGAACTGCACAAGCAGCATAGTTCAGGGGATGAAGGATACAAAAGAGGCTATCATAGTTATTACAAAAGCATGGTTGCAGTCTTCCATATTAACTGTTGGTTTATGTAATGGGCACACCATCTTTCTAGCTAAATGTTTAAGGCGCTAACAACAGAAACAATCGGAGAAAACCAGAGTAATAAAAATAACTGATAAAGAACAAGGACAAACAGCATAGAAACAATGAAAAAGGTAGGCCTTGAAAAAATAGCTACGGTTTGCCTCAGCAAGTTGCATGAATGAACTTGGAAGCACTTCTTTGAAGCCCTAAAATCATCATAGCGATAGCACTTAAGACTTATATACCACTTCATAATGTTTCACAGCCCTCTCTAAGCCATTTGCAGAGTCAGCCTCTTGCCTCCAACAACCTGGGTCCTCGTTTTATCAACCTCGGAAGGATGGAAAGCTGAGTCAACCTTAAGCTGGTCAGGATCGAACTCCTGGCAGTGGGCAAAATTAGCCTGCAATACTGCATTCTAACCACTCATCATTGTTGAAGTGAGGTTTCACTAATGTGAAATGGAACAGAATCCATTCTGTTGCTTGTGGGGATACCAGGGTGAAATTCTATTAGAGCATCTCTAAGTAGTATTGGGTCTCTGCATGTGTGTCCCCCCTCCAGATAATAAAGACCATTAAATACACTCTTATAGTCTGTTTATTGATTCCTGCCATTCAGTACCACACATCACCAAAACAGCTTCTAGACAATATTTTTAAAATGTGAACCCAGTGAAGATTTTGGCAGATTCTTTGTCTCCAATGCACGGGGCATAATGCAAACACCTACACCTTAAGATGCATGAAGTACAGAGCTAATGTGTCACACTTGGAATTGCGGGTAATAAAGCATACAGCAATTATATGGTTCTGCCCACACCCTGTATATATATTTTAACTTAAAGAAACATTTTGGGGGGGGCGGGGTTGGAAACCAATGCAGGTTCAGATATTGCTGAGTGAATTTAACAGCACATACAACAGATGGAATAGAGCTTTTCAGCAAAAATCATAGCAAGGGGCTATCTAGTTGGTAATTATTAACACGAGAGACATAAAGGGGCTGCAGGTATGCTCCTATTTCCTCTAGGAAATGTTGAGGGACATGCAAATTGTAAACATTCCTAAATTAACAATACTGAACATTAACTGGTTCTATTAAACCTGTAAGAAAGAGGCAAAGCATTTTGTAAGATTGCTCATGTACCTTGCAAAACAACTCGCCTACATCTTATAAGGTAGCTTTCCAAAGAGTGTCTTGTTCATTGGTTAAGCCTGGTTCTCCATCATGTCTATGGCTTGGGGAAATCATTAACGTTTGATGAAGTTGTAGGCAACTACATCTGTGCGTAACCAGACCAGTGTTGCTTTTGCTCAGCATAAGCTCTCTGACTGAAAGCAGAGCTTGCAGAAAGCATGAAAATCAAGCTTGTATAAAACAAGAGGAGACATTCCTTTATAAGAATGCTGAAAGATAAATAAGCACAACATATCAAAACCTCAGGTTCAGGAATGCTTGCTGCTTTGCAAATGTCAGTCCTGTGGACACTTCTGCAAAATCCACATTCAAATGTTCCAGCACTGCTAGGGTAAAACCTTTCTAAATATTTGGCAAAAAAGCATTCAAATCTCTATAGAATGATTTCTCCAGGAGATGTATGACAAGCTGAAGACAAAATGACTGACTTCATATATTGCACTGAACTATATTTATTTGATGGTGACATTTTGATTGTGGCTTTGCATCTGATAGAAGATCAGACACTCTGGTTTTTAAACTACCATGTATGTCTTAACAAGGATGCAACCTCTATTAACTCTACCAAGCAAGACTTGCTCCTGATTGAAGAAATATGGCTTATGAACCAAGCCAAAAGTTGTTTCTGATGAGTTGAGATAAAGGGATTTGAACCATGATAGCATGGGGTACACACATACTTTCATCCCTGATCCAGCCACAATTCTTTGTATGGAAAGCAAAGAATAAGCTGGTGCACTTCATCTATAAATGCCTTCAAGACAAACATGATGCTGGAGAGGCATCTTCCATCACATCTGAAGACAACATACTTGCAAGGGAAGCACAAGAAAACCCATACAGACAATTGCTGTCTTTTGCTTCTGCTGCTTCTCTGCATTTATTGTTTGAGATGCCTCTTTCCTGTATCCAAATGGTAGCCCAAGCCCTTTTTGTCTCATCCCTGTCTTTCATCAGTTGTACCTTCAAATGGTGATTCAATAACTCCATTCCATTTCATTAAAGTCAGAAGCAGATCAACAGAAACCAGTATATACACCTTGGATAGCATATTTATGTAGCTGTGATGATATATATAGTTCCATCTATGTTCAAACACAAAGCAAATTCTGCTTTGTTCTAACACTAATGATGTTACCTAGTTAGGTAATGAAATGTCTGCAAGAAAACAACCAAGCTCAGAGAGCATCAAGGACCCTGAGTTCAAATCTGAGCCTCAAATATTCTTTTCTATGAATTTGGATTTCTTAACTGAAAAAAGACCTTCCTTCCTTCCTTCCTTCCTTCCTTCCTTCCTTCCTTCCTTCCTTCCTTCCTTCCTTCCTTCCTTCCTTCCTTCTTTCCCTTACCTACCTACATTTTTTTAATTCCTCTGTAAGCTCCAAGATCCAACTCATGCTTTGTGTCTGAGGTCAAAAAGAATGTCATTGATGCTTCTCTTATTTAAGCAACACATAAAAATGAACACTATCATACATTGCAGCGAGTTGAATATCAAAGATTTTTTTGTGTGCTATAACTACCTTCTTCACAACTGAATCAGTCTGTCACATTTGATTATTACAATTTATCATGGTTCCTAAAATGTCTAGACGAGCAAGATTAGAAATATTTTTGAGCTCATATTGCTCGGCAATAAACTGCAGTACATAAAGAAGCACAATGAGAATTATAAATTATAAACAAAATTATAAATTCAGCCGTAGGCTAACTAGCTGTGCAAATTCTCAGCAAAAATAACACTGTTTAGCCTCATCCATTTTACTTCCCGCTCATTCACTTCATGAAAGATCGCGCTCAATAAAAAAAGTTATCTATCTCTATGTTATAGATGATTTAAACCATGTCAACATTTATTAGCATTTGCCAATTTCCATATAAAATACCTGTAATGCTGTCAAAACTACAACATTGTGTAGGATTTTAGTACTCTAACTGAAAAATGGTATCAGAGGGAGAAATTAAAATGATGTTTCATTCTATGAAGGAAAGGTGCAAAGGAAACCAATGTATTAATTTAGTAGAGAAAGATGACTTCTCAGAGAAGGTACAAGTAGCATCGAACATATTTTTTTATAAACTATGAAAGACTAGAGAAACCAGAGATTCTTCTTTCTTATGCTGAAAACCACTCCGTTTATAGCTGACTTTGTGTATCTCCAAACACCTCAATGGCTAATTATGCAAACACAACAGTCACTGGACCTTGATCTTATCCAGAAAGGCAATTATGTTTGCTTTTTAAATGGATATAGAATTCTGGCAAGAACAGCTCTAGGTAGAAACTACGGTATTGGCATTGCATTTGTAAGCTTCACTTTGACCATCATTTAGCTGGAAAAACCAATAAAAGAGAATAAAGATCTCTTACTCTATGTAGCACCAAGCCTGGATCAGCCACACATCTTTAAGAAATTTTGTGACAATTAGAACAATTAATCAGTGGAACGACTTGCCTATAGAAGTTGTGGGTGCTCCAACATTGGAAGCTTTTAAGAAGAGAATAGTCAGCCACTTTTCTGGAAGGATATAGAATCTTCTGCTTGAGCAGTGGGCTGAACTAGAAGACTTCCAAAGTTCCTTCTGATTCTGTTAATCTGTTATTTGCATATCTTATCCAGAGCATTTTTGTTCCTTCTCCAACTCCCAAAAGTGTCATTTATCAAAACAGACAAATACCAGAAGAATCCCTGCCATGTCTGCTACAAAAAAAAAAAAAAAAACCTGCAAAAATTGCAGTCACCAAATATTGAATACATTGATTATGGCTGGATGCAAAACACTGTATATGCAGGGAAAAAAATAGTTTAATAGGACATATGGATTTGCTTGCCTTCTTAAGGAGAGCATATGGAGAGAAAGATTTTTGGTCATCAGCAAAGAGCAAAGAGATGGCCAAGAATTTGGAGAGATTGTATAACAAGAGCAACATAGTACAAGAATGTGTTCTTGTTGTTTTCTCATAATATGCTTCATCACTATTCCAAAAGCAAATAAGGAGTTTGTTTGTTTTTTTAAATGCAACATTCATACCAGCAATTGAAACAGAAATTCTAGATATAAATTAGTGCAAGCAGATCTGTCAGCTGCAGTTTTATTCAATTTCTCATGTTCATGATAGTAAATTCATTTCAGTCTGTCTCCATGTGTTGGCAAATTCATCAGAAGAAAAACATTTACATG